ATTATGACATTTGAGAATGAGGTGATCTGAGAATGTTGAATGCAGAATTAAAATGAGCTACTTTAAGCTTTCCAGTAGACTAATACAGGTCTTTATAGAGGGAAACCTGTTGCTGAAAATTGTAATCAATGAAGTTCTAGTTTAATTTATGCAATTTTACACATATAAACTTGTATTTTCCCTCCTTGGTATGGGAGAAGAGATTTATCCCTATACTCTGAGTCTCCCTGTTTTCCAACAGACCTCATTGCTTTCCATACAGCTTAGCTTCACTCATTCTAACTTCTCACAAAATCCAGCTGTGTCTATTTCAAGGAGCCCACTCCTGTGATAACTGACTTCACTTACATAGTAACTTCTTTAATCCACTTATGAGGGCAGATTCCTTTTGACATAATTACCTCTTAAATGTTCCACTTCTTACTGTCATCACAATGACAAATACATTTTAATATGAGTTTCTAAGGGGACAGTTAAGCCACAAAGCACAATTCTTTGCTAAAAGTAAACATTGCTGTAGAACATAGACAGGCCTAGGAGAAGGTCTAAGAGACTCACTCAAGTTTGGTCAAGCAAATATTTGTCACTTGTCATTTCATTGTCTGTGTTTCCTCAGGGGCTATGTCTGTGAATTTTCTTTTGCTTTTGAGAATACTTTTCATTTGTGTTCCCTGAATGCTTCATATACTTTTTTGAATATTGGATATTTTGAATTATTATAAATGGGGTTTATCTGGAAAAATACCCCTACTCTCCTAGGAGTTGTTGTTGCTGATTTTTGTGGGTTGTACTCATTTATTTAGTAATTCACTGTGTGTTTGTTGTTGGCAAAGTTAAAACAACAGAATACTTTTTTTTTTCCTCAGCAGTTTCTTCATTAAGTATTATCCTAGTTTTTTTAAAATATATTTTATAATTTAAAAAACTTGATTCTGATTGTTTTTGACATCTCGATCATTGCTTTAGTTGAGCAAAATGGTTTTGAGGTTCCTTACGCTAACATTTTTGGTGACATCATTCCCCTCAGTATAGTTTTGCATACAGCCATTTCAAAGGTGATATTATTATGTTTCCAACCCCCTTACAGTTTATGACTTTACTATGATAATATATACTTTGATCTAAAAAGTCAAACATTTTCCATTTCTTTTTTATTTTCAAATTTGAAATACCTATGTATATATCAACATTGTTTAAAGTTATTTATTTTTCTTTGTTTTCAGCAAGAGGATAGGACTTCTAATTAGCACGAATCTAATAAAATATTTTCTGTGAGATCTTTTTATTTTTCCACATTGTTCAAAATACACCACAGTGATTGGAAGCATAAAAATTTGTCATCTGTTAGTAGGGAGATGCTTTTGATTTCAGCATAGTGTGTTACTTTATTATTTATATTTACCATATTTAGCATATAACATAATGTACATGTGTTATATGCACAAACTATGATACATATAGTTAATTTGATAAGTATTGTTAATTTGTTTAGGATATACCCTGATTGCATTTTACTTGATGCCCATTAATTATTCTTGAGCATTTATAAGGTGTTTTTGAGAAAAGATATGAGGATATTCCATCTCCTCATTGATTTCACAAAAATTGGGTGTCATTGCACAATGTTTTTACAGCATATTATATTTGAATTCAAAGAAGACATTTTGCATATTAAGTAAAATTTTAAGCTTAGCAAAGAAATGTTTGCATAATCATGGGGAGCAGGAAGGGTAATGGCCTCTGTCCTTTTCTATACCTGCCATGATTGCTCCATTTGTGTGTCTCAGGTTACATGTGCACTTAAGTCACTGTCACCTTTTTACAGTCTATTAAAAATATCCTAACCTATATTCAGTTTTTTCCGTTTACATCAACACAGTTAATAAATATTCTACTTTATGACATACTTTATAAGCTTATACATTTGTTCATGATTATCTACTTCTGTGCAACCAAAAAGTATAAAATATATTTTACTTTGTTTATTTTTCATGGTATTTCAGGTTCAACATGATTTTCCCAGTCAAATGCACAATACCATTTAAATATTATTGATAGCACGTGGATGCCTTTTTTATCATTAGCTATATTATTATCTATATTGACATCAAGCCCCACAAGGTCAACTTAATGTATAGATGTCCTTAGCATTGGGTTTAAACACTTTGTACCACTCTGAGTGGTGTTTTTTTGTTTTTTCAGAAAACAGAAAGATCTAAAATTACTCATTCCATTTTTAAACGTATTTGTCATTCTCTGAAAAAAAATCACCTATGAAACTGTCAGTTTGAATATATTTTAAAACTGTTTTTGGTTGGACGCGGTGGCTCGTGCCTGTAATCTTAGCACTTTGGGAGGCCGAGGCTGCTGCATTGCCTGAGGTCAGGAGTTCAAGACCAGCCTGAGCAACAGGGCTGAAACCTCGTCTGTACTAAAATACAAAAATATTAGCTGGGCATGGTGGTGTGCACCTATAGTCCCAGCTACCCAGGAGGCTGAAGCAGGAGAATTGCTTGAACCCAGGAGGCAGAGGTTGCATTGAGCCAAGATTGCACCACCACACTCCAGCCTGGACAACAGAGTGAGATTCTGTCTCCAAAAAAACCCCCAAAAAACAAAAAACTGTTTTTAAGTAAATATTATCATAAACATCAAAGACAAGAACTCTGGAGAAAGTGAGGCAGTCACCGAGTCAACTCACCGTTACAGTTATTTATTAAGTAGTCTTTTGAAAATGTTCAGCCAAGATGTGATAAAGAATCTCTAAATTCTGAATGTTGTCCCTGATTCAGGGAGACCAGCTTTTGTAGAGTGGACACATGGACTCAACCATACCAGAACAACAACAACAAATTTTATATGCATATATATATGTATCTCACAAGTGTATGTAAATGGATTATTTTATTTAAAATATACAATATAGGCAACTATTTGAAAGCATATTATTTGTAATATTCACTAGTTCATGTGATAAATACATCTGTTTAAAAAAATGAAAAAGACAAGTAAACAATGTGAACTATAATTAATAGGACTAATTACTCATATATGTGTTAGAAATATATAAGTTTTTATTATACATTAAGTTCTAGGGTCCATATGAACAACTTGTAAGTTTGTTACATATGTATACATGTGCCATGTTGGGGTGCTGCACCCATTAACTTGTCATTTACATTAGGTATATCTCCTAATACTATCCCTCCCCCTCCACCCACCCCACAACAGGCCCCGGTATGCGATGTTCCCCTTCCTGTGTCCAGCTGTTCTCATTGTTCAATTTCCACCTGTGAGTGAGAACATGCGGTGTTTGGTTTTCTGTCCTTGCAATAGTTGGCTGAGAATGATGGTTTCCAGCTTCATCCATTTCACTACAAAGGACATGAACTCATCCTTTTTTATGGCTGCATAGTATTCCATGGTGTATATGTGCCACATTTTCTTAATCCAGTCTATCATTGATGGGCATTTGGGTTGGTTCCAAGTCTTTGCTATTGTGCATAGTGCCACAATAAACATACATTTGCATGTGTCTTTATAGCAGCATGATTTATAATCCTTTGGGTATATACCCAGTAATGGGATGTCTGGGTCAAATGGTATTTCTAGTTCTACATCCTTGAGGAATCGCCACACTGTCTTCCACAATGGTTGAACTAGTTTACAGTCCCACCAACAGTGTAAAAGTGTTCCTATTTCTCCACATCCTCTCCAGCACCTATTGTTTCCTGACTTTTTAATGATCGCCATTCTAACTGGCATGAGATGGTATCTCACTGTGGTTTTGATTTGCATTTCTCTGATGGCCAGTGATGATGAGCATTTTTTCATGTGTCTGTTGGCTGCATAAATGTCGTCTTTTGAGAAGTGTCTGTTCATATCCTTTGCCCAATTTTTGATGGGGTTGTTTGGTTTTTTCTTGTAAATTTGTTTAAGTTCTTTATAGATTCTGGGTATTAGCCCTTTGTCAGATGGGTAGATTGCAAAAATTTTCTCCCATTCTGTAGGTTGCCTGTTCACTCTGATGGTAGTTTGTTTTGATGTACAGAAGCTCTTTAGTTTAATTAGATCCCATTTGTCAGTTTTGGCTTTTGTTGTCATTGCTTTTGGTGTTTTAGACATGAAGTCCTTGCCCACGCCTATGTCCTGAATGGTATTGCCTAGGTTTTCTTCTAGGGTTTTTATGGTTTTAGGTCTAACATTTAAGTCTCTAATCCATCTTGAATTAATTTTTGTATAAGGTGTAAGGAAGGGATCCAGTTTCAGCTTTCTACTTATGGTTAGCCAGTTTTCCCAGCACCATTTATTAAATAGGGAATCCTTTCCCCGTTTCTTGTTTTTGTCAGGTTTGTCAAAGATGAGATGGTTTTAGATGTGTGGTATTATTTCTGAGGGCTCTATTCTGTTCCATTGATCTATATCTCTGTTTTGGTACCAGTACCATGCTGTTTTGGTTACTGTAGCCTTGTAGCATAGTTTGAAGTCAGGTAGCATGATGCCTCCAGCTTTGTTCTTTTGACTTAGGATTGTCTTGACAATGCGGGCTTTTTTTTTGGTTCCATATGAACTTTAATGTTTTCCAATTCTATGAAGAAAGTCATTGGTAGCTTGATGGGGATGGCATTGAATCTATAAATTACCTTGGGCAGTATGGTCATTTTCACGATGTTGATTCCTCCTATCCATGAGCATGGAATGTTCTTCTATTTGTTTGTGTCCTCTTTTATTTCACTGAGCAGTGGTTTGTAGTACTCCTTGAAGAGGTCCTTCACATTCCTTGTAAGTTGGATTCCTAGGTATCTTATTCTCTTTGAAGCAATCGTGAATGGGACTTCACTCATGATTTGACTCTCTGTTTGTCTGTTATTGGTGTATAGGAATGCTTGTGATTTTTGCACATCGATTTTGTATCCTGAGAGTTTGCTGAAGTTGCTTATCAGCTTAAGGAGATTTTGGGCTGAGACGATGGGGTTTTCTAAATGTACAATCATGTCATCTGCAATCAGGGACAAAAATATAATTATGTTTTAATACACATTTTTATTTTATAACAATCATATTTAGAATAATTAGCAGAAAATTTGTGAACATTATGCAAAGACTTCCCATAAACTCCATACTCTACTTTCTGTTTCATTACTATTATACATTACTGTGACGTATTTGTCAAAATTTATGTACAAATATTGATTTATTACTGTGAACTAAAATTCAGTTTTTACTCAGATCGCACTGGGTTAACCTTCATTGTTCCAGAATTTCATTCAGCATGTTACATCACATTTAATCCTCATGACTCTTCATGCTTTTCTTGACTGTGACATTTTCTCAGACTTTTCTTGTTTTTGATGAACTCTATAGTTTTGAGGTTTTCCAGTCAAGTTCATCTGATATCTTTTTAATTAGGGAGTTTGCATTTTTAAGAGGAAAATCACAGAGATAAATTAATTTCCTCAGTTCACCTGAAAGCATACATGTGCTCAAGATGACTTATAACTATTGATATGAACAAAAAATGACTGCCTGATGTAGTGTTAGTGATATTTCTCCACTGTGAATTTAGTCATTTTCTCCTGTCTGTATTGACTCTATTCTTCAAAAGAAAATCACTATGTGCAGCTCAAAGATAAGGAACTGGAACTTGTGATTCATCTCCTTGATGGCTGAGTACTTAAAGCAATTATTTGGAATTTTTCTGCATGAGAAATTATCTTTTCCTATTCATTTTGTGTTCAATAATTTATTCATCTAAGTATCAACTCATGTATATTTCTTTTGGAGATTAAGTTATAATCAAATTCCAGTTTGTTTTGCTTAAAATATTCTAACATCAGCCATTGGTAGGTCTATTTTTTTGTGCCTGCTTTCCTTTTATCAGAATCCCGTCTTAGTTTTTTGTTTTTGCACTACATCCTTTTTGAAAATTTAGATTCTGCAGGATGTTTTTGTGCATTTTTTGCACCAGTTCTAATATCAGCTATTTCTCCAAAGAGCCCTGTTTCATTCTCTTAGATACTGGTATTAAAAAACACAGATTATGGAATTAAATTGCACATTGCTGTTTCCCAGCTCTCTAAATTGATCATGTAAGAGAATATATGTATGTGGAGTAAGTTCAGTATATGAACCTAACTGCAGACATTTGCTTAATAGTAATATCTGCATGTGTACCACGCTAAACATCAGTTCATCGTGGTGCATCCAGCTCTAATTCATTACTACCCACACTATTCTAGTCTTTTTTTAATTGCCTATCTGTACTTTAACTTTATCTGTAAATTCCCAAAGGCAGTGAGATATCTGGGCCTTACTATCTGCCATGCTTTTTTATGATTTACTCAATTCCAGTGTACATATATAGTGGTTTCAGAATTATTAACTAGTATTCCCATAGGAAAGAACTTTATCAAACAGAGCATACTATTTTTTCCTTTTGCTTCTGGTTTTAAAGATTTTACTCATTCCAAAGACATTTTGACCAATCCCTTTCCCACCAACCACCTGCAGTCTGTTGGTTCCATATTTTTTAACAAAATTAATGTTTTGGTAATATCTTCATTCCATCCTTGGATCTCCTTACCTCCAAAACATTTTCAAGCTTGTATTTATTAATACTCACTATTGTACTGTAAATTGTGTGGGATTTGACAAATGAAGAGTACCAGATATCTATAATTAAAGTATCACATCAAATATTTTGGCTTATTCAATCTCCTCTTCCTCCCATAGTCCTGTAGAAATCACCGTTCTGTTTGTCACTTTAATAGTTTTGATTATTCATATATATATATATATATATGTGGTTTGTCTCCAGTGAGTTCTCTCCACTGAGTTTTCCTTCAGTCAATGTTCTGCCATTAGACATGAGAAAAGTAACAATGGAAAGAAACTTTAAGGATGTTGTCTATGGGTTACATCCTTCAGTCGATGTACTATCCTTATACTAGGGAGAAAATTAATATCATCTGAAAATATTCTGCCCTTAGATGACATGATACTATAAATGGAATGAATGTGAAGAGACGTTGGCCATCTATTTAACAACTAAACACACCAGAGGGCTCACACATTGAATAAACATGGTAACCAATGTAGAATATCATTCCGTTATCCTTATTCCTCAGTCTACATGAGTGAATTTATATAGAAGAGAAGCTATATGTATGCCATCTACGTAGCAAAGACTTGTCTGAATATAAATGACATGAGAATGAAAACTGTCAATATAATAAGTATTTTGCAAAAGCTCTAACTTAAAACACACAGGATTTGCAGGGTAGAGAATTCTTAGCTCTGTAAGGAATTTGGGACTCCAATCGAGAGAAACCTTGGTCTCTATTCACTGTGAACCAACATTCAGCCGGGTGCCACCCTTTGTATGTTAGAAAAAAATCAGTAAAAAATACCTTCTTGAGAAGGAAATAGGAAAGGAAAGTCTTCACAAGGACAACCGATCATCTTGTGGATTACCAAATACTGCAGATTTCAGGTCAGAACACTGAGTCGTGGAGAATAAAAAAAGAAAACTAACATACAATTGAGCAAATAATTCATAATTTAGAGAATGTGTCTATTCATTAAAATGTGAAATGTATAATAGTTATGTGACCTGGGAATTTTGAATACAAAATTATGTAAACAACTTTATTATTTTTAATAGAAAAATACTTGCAAATATTGAAACATTAAAACCTGTTGCTGAAAAATCTAATAGTTGTTAAAGTTGTAGTTTTGTTTATGCAGGTCTGGCACATAGATTTGCATAAGCTATCCTTGGCATGTGAATAGAGATTTCAACCTTCTGTTCCCATTTCCCCATCTTCAACAGCCTTTTTTTCTTTCCACAGCCAAACTCCCTTCATTCCAGCTTTCACCAAAACCACTTATCTGGATCCCTCCCTGGAGTTGACACAACACGGATCTTCAGCCCCACGTGCCAGGTTTCTCGGTGATCCATTACACAGATTTAGCAGGGAAATGGGGGCAGTATCAAAAACACCCAGTATAAACCATTGAATTACCCCAGCCCTTGTCTCTGCCCATGAACAACTCCCTGGGGCCAGAGAATTAGGCATCCCTGCTCTTCTTTCCCTCAGAAAGCCCTTGGGACATTCTCCTTGAAGCTCCCCTAAATGGGAGTAGAAGTTCATCTCCTGACATTCCACGTTTTATTCATGTGAGTCCTGAGTTATGACACAGAGGACACAGTTGTGCTCCCCTTACTGTGGCCTAGCAGGTAAAGCACCTTAACCTCTCAGCCACCATACAAACCCTTCTTATGTTTGATTCAATGTACTTTTCTGCAAGCAAAATAAAACTTCTGACCAAACAGGCGTCCTCTGATTTGACTCTAGAACTTGGAAATGCATTGGCTTTCAGCAAACCTCAGTATTGAATGTAAACTTCAAGGAGAAATGGTCCCAGGAAATAAATTGGGATGACATTGAGCTTTTAGCAAACTGCAAAATCCTGAAACCATGGACCTTAATGAAGTCAATTAAATGGGCTAATTCATGGGTGAAAGTGCTACATCATAAAACTAAATATTCTCCATACGTGATTCTACACTGAAGCCAGGGTTTTTGTCAAGTACTGTGTGAGGATGAGGAGACACCAAGCCTGTGGCAATCTGCTTGGCAGGCAATCTGGTCCAGGCAGGGCCCACCTTATTGTTCACAGTTTAAACTATTTAATTAAATACATAATTTTCCCCCAAATCGTATATGACATAAGCTGTAGTCCTGAGCCACATTAAGATGTACTATTTATGCGGTAAAATTGTATGGGATTTGACAAATGCATAGTGGCAGGTTTCCAGCATTAAACTATCACAGCACCCTTCTATTATTCAAGCTCCTCTTCCATCCACATACAGGGAATCAATCGCCTTTTGTATATGGTCCTTTGACGTTGCTTCTTTATTTCAATTATCTTCCATCAAAGCAAATGATACCGTGCTCTATTTTCATTTGACCTTCCAAAAGAAACATACTGAATAATCTAAACCAGAATTTCAGCCATTCAGAGACTTAGGCCCACCGCTAAGCAGTCAAGGCCAAGCCACCTGCGCTGCAACACCATGGCCGGCAGAGGGCGCGGGAACACGCCTTCCGCCCTGCGGGGCGCATGCGCTTTCTGCCTGCGGAGGCGGGGCGGGGTCTCCAGGAAGTACCTCAGCTTCCTTTCCTCTGGTCAGGGAGGAGGTGCCGCCCTGGCTTTGGGGCAACTTAGGCAATGTCCATCGTGAGGAAAACTTCCTGTCCGCCGTCCTAACTGCTGAGATGGGAGATTCCCTGCAGAGTCTCCTGGATATTTTTCTGAAACAGAAATAAAGACTTCATTTTCTGGGCTGTTGCCGCGTTTTATTCTGTACTTTGTTGGGATATTTTAACATAATTTTACAAATGTATAAATTTGGAGTTGGGGAGGGCTTTCTGATAGATAATAGAAGCAGGCTGTAACATGTCCTCCGTGTGACCTCATTCAGGATTGATTGTGAGAAGAAACAAGAAGAATTTTGAGGAAAATCTACAGAATACAGGGACCCTGCAGAGGAAGGAGTCGGGCCAGGTCAGGGCCATACAGTCTCAGTGCAGCCCATGGTGTGTCCAGAATTGGTGGGTTCTTGGTCTCACTGACTTCAAGAATGAAGCCGCGGACCCTTGCGGTGTTACAGTTCTTAAAGATGGTGTGTAGGGAGTTTGTTCCTTCTTCCCGGTGGGTTCGTGGTCTCATTGGCTTCAGGAGTGAAGCTGCGAACCCTTGTGGTGAGTGTTACAGCTTTTAAAGGCAGCGTGGACCCAAGAGTGAGCAGCAGCCAGATTTATTGCAAAAAGCAAAAGAATAAACCTTCCACTGTGCCCAAGGAGACCCCAGCAGGTTGCTACTGCTGGCTGGGACAGCCTGCTTTTATTCCCTTATCTGACCCCACCCACATCCTGCTGGTTGGTCTATTTTACAGAGAGCTGATTGTTCCATTTTACAGAGAGCTGATTGATCCATTTTGACAGAGTGCTGATTGGTGTGTTTACAATCCTTGAGCTAGACACAGAGTAACAGAGCGCTAGACAGAAAAGTTCTCCAAGTCCTCACTAGGTTAGCTAGATACAGAATAGCAATTGGTGTATTTACAAACCCTGAGCTAGACACAGAGTGCTGATTGGTGCGTTTACAATCCTTGAGCTAGAGGCAGAGTGCTAGATGGAAAAGTTCTCTAAGTCTCCACTAGGTTAGCTAGACACAGAGTTAGCTAGATACAGAGTACTAATTGGTGTATTTACAAACCTTGAGCTAGACACAGAGTACTGATTGGTGTATTTACAAACCCTGAGCTAGACACAGAGTGGTGATTGGTGCGTTTACCATTCCTTAGCTAGACATAAAAATTCCCCAAGTCCCCACCAGACTCAGGAACCCAGCTGGCCTCACCGGGGCTGCAGGCGGAGTTGCCCGCCAGTCCCGAGCCGCGCCTGCACTCCTCAGCTCTTGGGCGGTGGATATGACTGGGCATCATGGAGTAGGGGGCGGGGGCCGTTGGGGAGGCTTGGGCCGCGTGGGAGCCCATGGCGGAGCGGAGGGGGCTTGGGCATGGCGGGCTGCAGGTCCTGAGCCCTGCCCCGCGGGGAGGCAGCTGAGGCCTGGCAAGAATTTGAGTGCAGCGCCAGGAGTGCTGGGGGACCCTGCGCAACCTCGGCAGCTGCTGACCAGGGTGCTAACCCCTTCGTTGCCCTGGGCCGGCAGCGCCCGCTGACCGTCTGAGTGTGGGGCCCGCGGAGCCCGCGCCGGCGTCTGACGTATTTCGCGCTGGACCGCTTTCTTCCCCTTTGCTGTTTCCCATCATCACCCACTGTCTTCAACAGCAGAGGGTCCCAGATGCTGCGGGGAGGGGGAGAACTGCAGGGAGTTCAAATAAAACATTCACATTTCACTTCACACACACTGACCCTTAGAATTTCTCCTCCTTATTTAACCACATAAATCCAACCACACTCAGTCGAATCCCTGACTGCTCCATGTGAGAGTTCTGCTTCCAGCATGACGTGGCCTGAAAATTCATCTGAAGACAGCTACTCACTCCCAGGACTAACACTGCCCCTTGAATGCTGATGTCCTTGCAGTCGTTGGTCTGATGCCACGATAAATAATTCCTAAGGCTGGTGCTCTATTTCTGCCCTGAGACTCTCCCCTTTTTCTCCAAGCTGTGCCCCATTCCTTGTCTTAGTCCAGGTTCCCAGACCAAAGCTTTTGAATTGACGTGATTGAATGAAGTAGTGGTGTCTCCTGTGCTTGCGTCCAACTGAGACATTCTCCTGCTCTCATTCATCATGTTTCCATTCACATTTGCCTTTGTTTAGTTTTGTTTTCCATTGTTTGGGTTTATTATTCATGTACCTATGAAATAACTGCCACATTTCTGAGAGTTTTCTTCGCAAATTTGGGGCTTTTCCTGTGCTCCTCCTTCCAAGTCCCCCATGAGGTCACTATTTGCACCTCTGGGCCCTGGGAATGGTCTGGCTCAGCAACTGTTTGGACAGAGCTTGGCTCTGTTGGTTGGGATGGGCACCTGTGCTTACTCACAGCTGCTCCCAGGCTCTCCCTGTCTAGGAAATCCAGCAGTCTCCTTAAGGGCCCAGCACCTCTTTGTTGGCCTGCATGTCCCAGCCTGTACATCCATGGCCAGCTAGAGCTACCACCACCTTTTTCTGGTCAACCTGGGAGCCCAGGCCTGGGTCCTGGAGGCAGGGGAGATAGGGGAATACTGTCCTGGCCTCCCTGAGCCCAACCGCAATAGGCGCGGAGTGCTCATGACCCCGGGGCAGTGGAGGGCGTTTGCCCTTGACTTGCCTGAGCCTCTAAAACCTCATATGTCCCCTGGAGGTGTGTGCAGCTTCCTCCTACTCTGGCCTTGCTGGCCTGGGAAGGGCGTCCTTGGTCCCCCGAGCCCTCAAAGCGTTTCCTCTTCCACTGAGGTTTCAGGAACTCTCTTTCCCCTCTGGGAAGGAGGACAGGCGCCCTTTCAGGTTTGATTCTCCTCAGAGTTTTGCATCTCGGTTGGGGCGGAGGCCGCCTTCATCCACATGAGAGGCCCAGCCAGGGTGTCCTCGGCAGCCTGTGCCCCCCGGTAGGTTCCGAGTCTGGGCGCTGGAGAAGCCGCTTTGTCTGCAAGTCCGGAGATGGCCGTCCCAGTGCAGGCGGGGCTGTTCTGCAGCCCTCAGGGCGTCAGGATCCCCCGGGGATGGAAAGTCCCACTGGGCCAGGAGCGTGTTTGGCGCCGCCCTCCCAGAACCCCGCTAATGCGGAGGCGGCTGGGGGGGCCCCGGACTCTTTCATGAGAGGTGGCAGCAAGGGCCAGGCAGGGCCCGGGCTCCTGGGCAAGGGAGTGTCTGGCCTGGGTAGGACTGGGTCCCATCCAGAAACTAGGATTCTAGGGTTCTGGTGCAGGTGGATCTGGGGCAGGCTCAGCACCAAGTCTCTCTTCTTCCACCTCAAGGACTCACCCAGGCGCTGGCGGGAGCTCCAGGTTCAGCAGCTCCTCCTCCTCCTCCTCCTCATCCTCCTCCTCCTCCTCCTCCTCCTCCTCTTCCACTCCTCCCCCTCCCTTCCCCCTCCTCTCTCCGTTCCCCTCCCCCTCCTCCTCCTCCACTTCCACTCCTCCCCCTCCCTTCCCCCTCCTCTCTCTGTTCCCCTCCCCCTTCTCCTCCTTCTCCAGATGTTTTCACCTGCTTTATTTCTCTGAGGCCAGAAATGGCGCCGTCCTTCACGTCGGTGCATTTCTACCCCAATCCCCATTACCTTGTAGAGCAAAGTAGTCAAACTCTGCAATATATTGAAGAGATTTAATTCTGAGCTAAATATGACTGACCATGGCCTGTGACACAGCCCTCAGGAGGTCCTCAAAACATGCGCCCAAGGTAGTAGGGGCGCATCTTGGTTTTCTTCTGGCCAATCGGTCTCCATAGGTATAACATCCTGACGAGGGTATAAATCAAGTGCAAGAAATGCCTGGTCTTCTATATCCAAATTGTTATAGGACTTGTTAACAGTAGACACACCTATTTTCACACCACTTGTATTGCACTATATACTGGTATATATTTGGGAGAGAAAACGATGTTCTTTAAAGGAGAAGTCATATGATTCTACAGTTGCATTTTGTCGTCCCTTCCAACAGAAATGGCCCTTTCCCATATAACAAATGTTATGTCCTATGGGAGTGAATATTAGGAGCTAAGTTTGGGGGAAATTAGGGCTCTAATTGGAACGAGGGCATAACCATTCCCTTTTTCTGTTTTCGCAATCTGAAAGGGAGATGGGATGTCATGTGTTATCATGAGCTAAAATAGTCCGCCTATTTCCCCCACGGGAATAGTTCTGTATTGTTTTCCATGCCTACCAGTTGAACCACAGAGTACCTTTGAGCCTCATTTAACTTTGGTGCCTATGCTCTGAGAATACAATGTTTGAGGTCACATTTACCATCCGAAAATTTCCATATGTTTGCGGGACCTTATATTTTCCACAGCTGTTTGGATTGTGCCTCAGCACTGATGATTGTAGCCATTGCTTCAGAGCCACCTTAGATTCTGTTTCTAATAAAATAGACATGAGCCCCTGTTGGGTTACAGAACGTGTTTATTCCCACCTTTGGGTTTGAGAGTATGTTTTTATGGTTTGTTTGGTTTCTCCTATCCATTTGATGAGGCTGCATTATTTTTTTAAAGCAGCTTTCCATCCTTTTCCATCTTCCTGGAATAACATACCTTCTATGTGGGCTATTTTTGACAGAAAACTTTTCTCTAAGAAATGCCTCTCTTCATTAGCTATGAACTCAGCTTACACCAATATACCTAGGCCAGCTCCAACTTTTCCAGTGAGGTCACGTTTTCATTTCTGGGTGGCAAATTTTGGTGGATTCATTAAGATTGCTGTTGCTATTGTATACTACTGGCATTAGTACAATTTGAAACTATCTTTGCAATTTATACCTGGTAATATTATACCCAAGAGGCTTCGTCATAAGGCATCTTTATCCTATCAGTAAATATTTACTTTTAAATCTATGAGAAGCAGAAAATTATTTGTGGTTGGGTAGATGCAAAAGTGACACACTATAGTCTAGAAGGAAATGTCCCTTGTATTGCCAGCTGTACCATCTTTGTACCCCTCCTTGATTTGGAGAGTTTGACTTTGACCTAAGTTAGCTCTTAAAATCTCATGTGTCCACCTCTTTCAAGACAGTCCCTGAGCCTAGAGAGCGGGTGCTTGTATAGTATTAGCAGCAGAAGATTCACAGTAAAATACAGATCTGGACCCAGTG